AGATACATCTTGGTTTAGAACTAAGTACAAACTGAGCCAGTGAGTTTCTCCAAGAAGACATGCATCACATAAAAAACAAAACAAAAACAGAGTTCCTCTTCCTACTCCACAACTCCAGAAACTACAAATTACTTCCTTCCATCCCTTTCTGACTACCACATTCTGCCAGAATGTTAGCAATATTTTGGAAATCAGCAAAATGCCGGTGCCGATTCTATGTGCAAAGCTTTGCTTACTCTGAACATTAAGATTGAGTTTCTCTAGGGAAGCAAATGTGGAATAATCTGAGCACAGAGGCTTGATAGCCTCAAAGATGCCTACAGTGATAGTTACCCAGTGGTGCTTGCTGGTTCCTTGCTGGTTCCTCCCGCTAGTGCTGGTATTTCACCTTCCTCAGTGGGGACTCTAAGGTGAGTAGTGGCTGCTCCGGATGGCTTTGCAGACTCTGTTGCAGCTGCCTGCGTTGCAGGGAGCCCCTCACTCGCCTCATGGTATTCGCTCTCTGTGCTTTCGTTGTCCGAGACGTTCTCTGCAGTACTGGAATCCTCGGAGGAGGTGGACTCGTACCTGAACAGGGGCAACAGAGGGCGAGAAGGGTCACAAAAGGCTTGAGGAACCAGAAATTGAGAAAATCCTGAAAGTAAAAAGCGCCAATTTTGTCCACCTTCTGTGTGGCTTAATTTCAGATTAATGCTCAATGTGTCTGAAAACAATCTCACTTTTGCGGGATTTGTCCACTTTCTGTGTGGGTTAATTTTGGATTAACGGTCAATGCATCAGAAAACAATCCCATTTTTGTGGATTTAAATCCTGCTTCTGCACAGGATTTGGTCGGTTCCCTCCCGTGTGATAAACTCCTTAGACTTTATCAGAGAGGGCAAGTAATGGAACCCTGGCTTCCTCCTGGCTCTATGTCATTAAAGTTCTTCAGAGTGGGAGGTTTTACATATGTCAGGTGTGATGATTTGGGAGCCCCTGCAAAATACATGTGGGCTGTGAAGATCCCTGTGGACAAATATGCCACTCAGGAAGAGAAGCACAATCTGTAGTCATGGGCATTGTGGTGTGTGTGTGTATGTGTGTGTGTGTGTGATGGGGTTGCATGCTCCTGTGAGGCAAGAGGTTATACTGATGGCTGCAGTGCTGCTGGTGGGGTTTCCCATGTCAGACAGGCTTTTGCTGGGGAGCCAGACGAAATGTGCCAAACTACAACTGGGCAGCAACAGTAGTGAAGGGTGACACTGGAAGAGGATCTCTCAGAGCCAATGGCAGTGGCTATGGCACCATAGCTAACACTTAGTACTTCATAGAAGGAGGCACTGGTAAACTCCTTTTCACTGTCTCTTACCATGAAAACCCTATGATGAGACAGTCTAAAATGACAGAAGAGGTAGTGCCAGAAGATAAAACTCCCAGTTTGGATGGCACTCAAGAAGTTACTGGGGTACAGCAGAGGACAAAGACGACTAGCACTGTGGCTAAAGACACAACTGGATTCAAAAGGACAGCCAGCTGTTGACATGCCCAGAGGAAAGTCTGGAGCTGCACAAAATATATCATAAGAACATGGAATGTGAGAAACATGAATCAGGAGATGCTAGGGATAATAAAACAAGAAATGGAAGATATAAACATTACAATACTTGGAATGTGTGAGCTAAAGTGGACAGGAATGGGACATTTTGAATCAGATGTTCTACTCAGTAAAATAATCTTTTACTCAGGAAATGAAAATCTAAGAAGAAAAGGGGTGGCATTAATAGTGAGGAGAAATGTAGCTGAAGCAATCAAAGGATATAATGCAAAGTCTGACTGAATTGTATCAATAAGACTTCAGGGAAAACCTATCAATATAACCATAATCTAAGTTTATGTTCCAACTACAGAGGCAGCAGAAGAAATTGAAAGATTTTTTTGCTGGAGGCCAGGAGCAGACTGACAACACACCAAAATAGGAATTGTTAATCATAGGTGACTGGAATGCAAAATTAGGAAACAGAGCAGAATCAAAAATTGTAGAAAAATTTGGTCTAGGATTAAGAAATGAACAGGACAGCAACTGGCTAGATTTTATGGAGCCAGCAGTTTGTTCATCACAAACACATTTTTTAAGCAACCAAAGAGACAACTCTATAGACATCATCTGATGACTAATATAGAAACCAGACTATGGGCCTTTGCAGACTGCCAGAAATAGTGCAAACTGAGTCCACTTTAAGGGTTAGGGTTAGGGTTAGGGAATCATGGAAACTGTATTTTATTGTGGCACCAGAGTTCTCTGACAGAGAAGGCTCAATGTCTCAGGGGGAAAAAAACAATTCCCATGATTCCCTAGCACTAACCCTAACCCTTAAAGTGAACTCAATTTGCACTACCGGTATTTCTGGCAGTCTGCGAAGGCCCTATATAACTGGAAGCTGAAGATGGAGAAACTCTATGCTTTCTGCAAAAATCATACCAGGAGCAGATAGTGACACCGCCAAGAACTGCTAATACAAAAAATAGAGTAAAGCTAAAGAGGAATACTCAACCAACCATCATGCTGAAATACAATTTGAAGAACATCTTAGTAGAATTTTAAAATGTAAAACACAGATTTGTACTATTAAGCCTAATTGACAGAGAACCAGAAGAACTGTGGACTAAGCCAAGGACATTGTCAGGGGGGGAATATTAACAGACACTATCTGTAGTCAAAAAGAAAGAGAAGCCTCAATGGATGACAGATGAAACTATTCAAGCAGTTAAGGACATACAAAAAGCAAAACTAAAAGGTGACAGAAATAGAGTGAGAACCTTGAATGCGACTGTTCAATGG